ATTTTGTGCTGCAGCTTTATTGAAGCTGCACTGGGGATGTGCACTTGGATGGTTTTGCAGGCTTTGCTAAAATTTAGCTTGGGAAGAGATATAACAATTAACATGGACTGAAATCGGTAGAAGGTGAATGAATAAGACGTCTTTTCGTTAGCAATAGACGTGATTCCACAGCTTTCATGAGTTTTTTGCATCTGTTCAATGCAAAAACCCATATTGTCGAGGAGTTTTTTTAATATGTGTCTGTGTGTGTGTCTGTTTGTATTTATGTATATGTGTGTACATCTATTATCGAGTTTTCATCTCGAGATTTACAAAAGCTACACGCTGCAATTTTGCCAACTTAATTTACACGCACATACGAGCCCCAGTCCTCAAAATAGATGATCATGCACACGTGGTTCTCACATACGGACACGTAAATTTTGAAAGTCTAATCCAAAGATTTCAAATTCAACCTTCACGCACCCCTGGGTATATTGTACGCGCACGTCAAAGTTGAGACTGGCATCTTGTCAACTCTAGGTTTAAGCTGACCAAAAAGTTGTAGAAAGCTGCAATTTTGCAGCGTTACTTGTCGCTTACTGTTGTACGCGTGAAAGTAAATTGAGCTTTCCAGCCTCTCTGCGTCTCGCGTGCTGACGCATAAAAATTTCACACAGGTACTTTTGCAACTTCAGAACTGAAGCAGTTAGAGGACTGGAACTTCTGAGCATAACCGACGGCAGCATTTAACCAGGTGGGTGTAGCAACGACTTTCACGTTTCTTTCATGTCCCACGTGCAGACTTACGTCCACACACGCGGAATTTGACGTTACTTCGCAACTAAAGCAGCTAAGGTGCCGAAATTTTCTGAACGTGCCTCTCACGTACGAACACGTGAAGTATGACATAACTCCACAGCCGAAGCATCTAGAGAGCTGGGTTGTTTGAACATAAATTGGGATCACTGTAATAATCTCTAACAGTCGTGGTGGCTGTTCTCAATTCTTTTAGCTAGAAGTATCTGCCGG